CATATTTTCTATGTTGATTGTAAGATGATCCTATTATTTTGCTTCCTAGTCCTCTTTTTCCATTGAAACTTTGCTGAGAGAGATTTAAGAGAATCTTAGAAGAATCAGTTCATTTTAGAGACTGGCTTAACTCTTTTTTGATTTTCTTAAGATCTTTCTGAATCTGAGAATTTTTTTCAAAAGAAGTTGCTAACTTATTTTCTAAGATTTCGAGTTTGTTGTCCAACTCTTCTTCATATACTAAGCTTTGTTTTATCATGTTTAGAAGTACTAGGTTGTTCTTCGTTAGCATGATGATTAGACTCTAGTATCCCTATCCTTCTACCCATTTCAAAAATCTGTGTTAGAAAAGCTACCTTCTCATTTTAAAAAATGCTCAATTTTTTAGTTAGGCTCGATTTTTCAGTGGATCTTTCATCTACTAAATTAATCAATAACGCAACAACTTTCCTCATACATTTAGCAGACATATTTCCTAGGTCATCTTTTAATTCAAAAAGAGTTACCTCAGACGCATCATCTTCATCAACTAATCTTGCCATCAATGAGAACATTTGTTGAGGATTCTTTCATCATCTTCGATGGACAACATCAAGACATCTTCAGTTTCTTCAATTTCTTCCCCTGACTCACTTGAATAATCACTCCATACAGCAAAGGCTTTCTTCACCATCTGATTAGCATGCACCTTCATTCGAAATTTGTCTCGGACCAGGTCCTTCTTACGATATCTCACCTCATGAGATTCTTGCTTTTGATTTTGACGGTCTCTCTCATAAAGTGACCTGGTTTTCCACATCTGTGACATAGGTCATTTGTTGTTACCATTCTTCTAGTAGTTCCCTTCTTCTGAAAGCCACCATGTTTTATGATGATTTTTTGAAATCTCTTTGTCAAGTATGCCATTTCAACTTCTTCTTCTGACATCTCACTTTGTGAAGATTTCAAAGCGACGTGCTTTTACTTCTGTGATTCTTTTCCAGCAGCTCCTTGCTTCCTGTTCATCTTATAGGTTTGTGAATCTCCTATGAGCTCATCCATAGGCAATATCATCAAATTTTGTGCCTCAGTAATTATATCCACTTTGCTTTCTCAAGATTTTGGAAGAACCTTGAGGATCTTCCTTACTTGCTTGCATGTAGAAATTGGTTCTCCCGGTCCTCTGAGATCATTTGTGATAGTTGTGAAACGAGAGTTCATTTCGAAAATAGTTCACCTGACTTCATCACAAAATTCTCATATTGACAGTAAGCATATCGATCTTTCATTCTTTTACCCTTTGTGTTCCTTCATGTGCAGTTTGAAGACAATCCAAAATTTCTTTTGCAGATTCACAGGCAGAGATCCAATTATATTCATCAGCACCAATACCACATACCAGAATCTTTTTCGCTTTAAAGTTCTTTTCAATATTCCTGCAATCAACCTCGGTGTACTCCTTTCTGGTCTTCACTACATAAGTGGTAAGTGTTTCATCTTTTACCTCCTTCATAGGGATGTATGGTCCATCTAGAATAATGACCCACAACTTAAGAGTCTTCATTATTGATATAGTCATGCATTTGATTCTTTCACCATCCATAGTAGTGACCATTGAAGCAGGTGGCCTTGTTGATGTTTGCCCTTCTTCCAGATTTGGTGGAGCGGCCATTCCTTCTGGAACTTTCTTTACTTGGTATTAACCAATATGAAAAGTTAAGCTCTAATACCACTTGTTGAAATGTATGCGTCCATGAAACCAATGGGACCTGGTCCTCGTAACACTACAAAGCAGTAAATAATGATACAAAGACAGAAGTAAAAGAGACAATCACTTTTACGTGGAAACCTCCTTGCTCAAGGGAGGAAAAAATCACAACCTGTTCTCAACAGGAATTTTCAACAACCACTTTCACTAATCTTTTCTCAAGCAAAAGTGAAAGTTGATTACACACCAAGAGACTAACCTTTTAGCCACTTTACTAAGCAATACTCACTATTGCTTAGCTAAGCACAAGCAGATACAACATTGCTTCGTAAGAGCCTAAGTTATCCTTAACTAAAACTCTTACAATGAAACACTCAAGGTTCGATACGTTTCTAATAACTTCAAAACGAATCTTACAATTTAGAACAATTAAAAGCGATTATTAAAACAGCAAATCACTAGAAGAACTGAAAGCTCCTTGAATTGATATCTTTCTATTTTGATCCTTGCTAGTATGTTTAGTTTTGAATGAATGAAGAATGCATGATGTTTTGTTTGATATATACCATGAAGATATGTTGTCCAACAAAAAAAACATCCTAGATGATTCTGATTGGAGTGGTACACTGCTCCTTACCAAATTCTCTGACACATATAACTTTTACAATTATCTATACTTTTCCTTGGTAAAGACCAGTTCTTCAACTCTTCAGATGACTGGGTCCCTGCACTTGTGAGGAATCATCAAAACACCCTTTGGGAAGCCTTCTGTCAGTGTGTTTTTTGGTCTAGGGATTTTAGGAAAAGAATTTGGTAATTGGAGAAATTATAACTTAATTCTAGACTTGAAACTTGGAAAATATGGTAATTGGCATCAAGATTAGATTGTATATTTGAGTGAGTTTTTGAGTCTAGACTAGACATAGTAATGTGTGTGTTGTTAGCCTTGAAATCTTATTGTGGTCATTTATTTGAATAAATTGCTTTGAGTTGAAAGTTCAATGAAAAGGAAAGGCTCAAGTCCTAGAGTGATTATTCGATTATTTGAGGAAAGTGGATCTCTAAACTCTTGCTAAGTGTATGGAATGCGTGTATTTCCTTGTGGTATGTGTTTGGGAGTAATGGGATTTGAGAGGGTTAACTTGTCCACCTTGATTAATTTTAATGATAAAAAGGGGTAATAAAAGACAATGTGATTATTTATTTGTATATGATGTGTTGAGAACGGTACGAGTACCGGTGTTATAATGGGAAGGTTTATTACTATAGAATGTGGACTGTAATTCGAGAATGCCAAAACATATGGGCATTAACTAATATATTATTGATTTGATTATTAGTGTGATTTTTTTCTTTACTAAATCCGTATAATTGTGATAATTGAGGGGATTAAATGTCACAGCGATATTTGATTTATTGAGATGTTGTATCATCTCCTTTATTTGATATCATATTGTGCACATGCATTGACATGAGACCGGGTATGAGTAAAGGTCTAACACGTGGAGATCGTCCGTGTTGAGATCGAGTTATGATTATTTGGGCACGTGGAGATCGTCCGTGCGATAGAAAAGTTATGATTATGATTTGGGCACGTAGAGATCGTTCGTGCGAATTTGTTTGATTCATAATAGTGCGTTAAGATCGTCCGCACAGACACGTGAAGATCATCCGTATCGGTATATGGACCTCACGAGTTCCTTGTTATTCATGAACTCTCGATATATTTCCGAGTAATATCATGCATATAAGGTTGAGAGAGAAACTGGTATTCTGAGGCATAACACTTCATGGTGTCATATTGCATTGCATCCCATGACATTCTTTATTCTTGATGATTATGTTTTATTGATTGTTGGGAAGTACTTGATATTTAATTACCTCTATTTGACGAACTTGGTCTTGTATGTTGTTGATATTGTGAGTGCCTTTTTGTGAAAATTTTGTGATTTTTGAATATTGAATTATAGTTAAGGATGTGTAATTTGTTAAAATGAACAAGAAAGAGTTGGATGCTATGAAAATTGTGAACTGTTAGTTTGGGATAATTTTTATGCAGGTTGTAGTTGTGAAGGTTTGGTTGATGTGTAAAGAGTACCCGTATTTTATCCCCTTAACTTGTGTTTAGAAGTTTACTTGTTGTTATCGTGTGGTTTGGTACTCACCCCATGCTACTACAATTTTTTTTGTATAGGTTACTAGCCCGGACCTTTGTGATATTTTTCTTCGCCTTGTCTGAGGCTTCTTGTGGAGAATTGTGAGGTAGTTACTTATTATCTCAGCAGACCTTCTACTCCTATTTATGATCTTGTTCTATTCGAGAAACAATGTCATTTGAGACTTTTTTTTAAAAATCAATTGTAATACTTTAGAGGCTTCTACACGTGACAACCAGGTTATGTGGATTGAATTAGGTTGAATTATTATTGAACTTTTGTTTATTTCCGCAATTAATTAGGTGATTGGGTTTTAGGCTGACTTGTCTTGGTGAGATAAGACGAGTGTCATCACTCCCATTTCGAGTCGTGACATTTTTTTCTACTTCTGTCAATAATATTCAATAATTCAGCACGCAATGATCATCCGAGTGAAGTTAACATGTATCAAAGTATTTTCTACAAATTTATATCAAAAATAAAGTAAAATTAGTATTAGTTTCATAATATTGGGCCCATGCTGGCACGGATAATCATCGCTAGTGCTTCCTATAAGAGGGAAACCCATTTTAAATGACAGTTTTTAATTAAAAAAAAATTTACCAAACTAGGCAGGTACCGCCCGTGCTAACACAGGCCCAACATGTCATTTGAATAGAATTTAGAAAATTTTTGATCAATTCAAAGCTAGAGCTCACTAAGATTGTTAATCTATATTTTCTAACTTTTTACTTATTATTCGTATTTTTATTTTTTATCATGTAATTTTTTGTATAAAATGTTTATTGTGGTAATTGATTACTCTAACATATTTTCTAGGTAGATCAAACACAATAAACTATATTAGAATTTAAATTGCCCAGGCAAAAATCATCTAGTTAATATATAGAACGCAAAAGCTTAATAACCACAACAATTCAAACATAAAATCACACTAGTAAAAAACATGAATTTTACAAACACTATATCAGCTGAGAGAAACGTTCATAAGAAATTCAGTTTTTTTTTATTTCAACATATTTAAAGCATAGAATTCTAAAGCTAATGAACGAAAACAACTCAAACATAAAATACACAATAGAAAGAAAACATGGTCTCCAAACGAAATGGTGGCTTGTTGAGACATTTACGATGAATGTCCTATCAAAAATTTCATAAATAGTAACGGTACTCTGATAACAATGTTCGTCGAAAATTCACATTTTATCATATGAAACACCACAATAATCCTTGAAGACATCAACAGAGCTATCTCGTGAAGCAACATAGCTAAATAATCCAAGCATTTCATATGGCTTGAAGAGTAAAGGGTGTTTCTCATCCACAAGTTCTTTTGGGGCCTCAATGAAGTGACCTGGTTTTAAGTATGTGTTAAATTGAATGGAGAATCTATCAATTTCTCCAGACATTGTTACTCTGTGGTAGACAGAATGCAATCGACCATTTGTCCATGCCTGTACCAATTCACTCATATCGTTAGTGCATAAAACTCAAACACTTGCTCCACTATCAAGAGTCATTCTCAGGTATTAAACATGCAATTCCAATTATATCTATGTTTGTTGGACTCTTCAAAAATTATTATTTAGTGCATTTATATCATTCAAAAATATTCATTTTGAAGAATAATCCAACACGAGTGTGATCATATTTTTGGAGAGTCCAACAACATAGGCTCCAAGCAATATCAAAACTCCTTTCCAATTTTACGTTAAGAAATTTTACATATAGTTCCAATTGATATCAATCGAATTTATCTATACATACATTGTCTGTTGTATGTTGAATTCTCTAAAAGCTATTTTTTTTCTTATAAAAAATTAATAAATTGTGATATTATTTTAAGAGTGCGAGCAATACAGATTTCAACAAAATAATATAACGTTAAAAAATTAAGTACAACTTACTTTGAATGAATCACCACACAAAACAGCATAAGAATTTGGTGAAAGATTGACATCAATCCACTCCCCATTTTTGTTGATTTGCAATCCATTGACTTGATTTTGTGATATAAAAGTCAAGAAGCTAACATCTGTATGGCCACTCAATCCATCATATTTAATATTGTTTTCGTGATCTTCACTAATAATTGATGAACCCTTATAATGTGTAAATCTAAACATGATAAAATTAGGATCCAATAATTCATGAATGTGATTTTTTAATCCCAAGTTCTCCAAAATCATCCTTTTCAACATTTTCATCCAATTCCACAATTGGATTTGAGTAAGATTTTACCAAATTGCTGCCAAAATTAATGCACATATAATGTTAGTATAAAGTATAAACATATAAAAAAGGATGAACATATTTAGAGCCATACGAAGTTGACACGATCTTTTTCACTTAGACACTTGAATTAAATTTTATATGTATAATTTTTTAAAAAAAATTGAGATAGAAGAAAGGGAAATAAGGGAGGGGAATCGAACTCTCACTTATCAAATTATGACTTTATGTACCAAATATTTCAATGGCGAAGCATCCAGTATTTATGTTTTGTTCCAAAAATATGATGAAGAATAAATTTGAGTTCTTTTTCTTTTTAATTGATTTTTTTTATTTTCTAAAAGGAAATTGGTATATTAGCTCTTTTCTAAGAGGTAAAAAGAGTATATAAAAATCAACTTCAATCTATCTGTTTGAAAATTTAAATAGTCAATTAATTGAGCAATAACAAATTTATAACCTTATCTTTTGTACACTTCTTAAATCGACTCAAAATAAACTTATATTTTAGATACTTTTTGGATATCGACTAAAGTTACAAAATGTGTGTAAACAATTATTTGACATAGTGACTAACTAAAATAGGACAAATGGTACTAAAATTTTTAATAATTATAAAATAAATTATACGGTTAAAAAAGTAAAGTAATTTTCAGCAAAATCTTTACTAAACGAAAGTCTATTTTCTTCTCTCATTTTTTTTATTTTCGTTTGGTTTTCCTTAAGATTTTGATTTTATTTTTTTCCCTGCTGTAGACTTGAGCTTGCTTTCATTTTAAATTATATATCCTCCCTATAAATAAGTACCTTAACAAGATGATGAAGTATAATCTTATTTTATTATAAATAAAAAAAGTATGATAAACAAAATACTTCATATTTATATCCCAAAAAAAAAAGGCAAATGTGATACTATCTTAATAAAGATTTCTCAGGCAAATGTGATACTACCTTAATAAAGATTTCCCATCTTAAATTCAGGGGTGGCTCGGCAGTGTTAAAAAAAAGATATGTGTCTTAAGCTTCCAAATTTAAGGAGCCTCATTTTTTATAATAATAGATTATAAGTTATTATTTTTCAACAAATAATGAATACTATTTGTAGAAAAAGTAAATATTTCATGAAATTTGACATATTTTTGAGTAGAATATCTTATAAAAAATAATTTAAATAAGAATAGTTATATTATGAGGTAAAAACTAAAAGCAATAAATTATATAAAAGTTATTAACAATTTAAGTTTAAGACCTCGTTAATTTTTCTCTTTAGGTCACTAATACGATAGAACCACTCGTGCTTAAACTTATGATATGTATATAGCTCACAATCAAATAATTTAATTATTATAAAAATTGGAGTTGATATATAGTTCATAGACAATCTATCCTATCCTACCCCTAATGTGATTGCTTTCGTTTCTTAGGTCACACATGCACTTAAGACAACATCTTTAATTTATCGTTGTTGAAATTATTCATGATCTATAAATATCATAGACAATCTAGCTAAGTTATTAGCCTATCCTAATGTGAATGTTTTCACGTCTTGAATTTATATAAATCACATACGATAACTTTACTATTTCTGAAATAGATAATCTATAGATTATACAAAAACGATTTTATTGTTTGCTTCAAGACTCTATATAAATCACATACGATAACTTCACTATTTCTAAAATAGATAATCTATAGATTATACAAAAACGATTTTACTGTTTGCTTCAAAACTCTTATCAATGCTCACGTTAAGTTGGAACATAATGATTTTTGTATTTTAAATAAAAAGAGTAGTAGACATACCAGAAATCAGGATTACCATGAGGCCAAAAGATGTTAGAAAAAGTTTGAACACTTTGAGGATTAAGATCAGGAATACACAAACTCTCATACAATGGCAAATGTGGAATCATTCCTACATAGCCATGTAATGGTATTTCTGAATAATTTTTCAGTTTGGTCTCTAAAGGAAATTCAAAAATTTCTTTTGAAATGTCAAAAATTCCCTCTCTAGTTTCATTTGGAATTTTATCATATATTGCTTCAAAACAACCATATTCTTTTAAAGCTTCAAAAACTTGAATTTTTATGGATTCCCATAGTGGAGTGTTTGGTTTTAGTTCTGGATTAGAAAAATCTATGGTGGGAATCTTAACTTTGGTAGATGCCATTTGAAAGAAACAAAGAAGGAATTAAAGACTTCACAATGTGAATAATTAAAGGGAGGGATAGAGAGTTTATATAGACAAAATAAATTAGCACTTGTATTTTAAAATTTATACACGTCATAAAAGATTAACACCTTGTTAGATGATTTTGTATTTTAATGTTAGTTTAAATATAATATTTATTTTAATTATTATTTAAATTTATCGTATAGTATTATTTAAAATAATCTATTGTTAAGTAACGATGAAAAGTATTATTTTATATAACAAACGAATTTGGTGTTTTATCATGCGGTTACCTTAATTTTTTTTCTTGTTTTCTCTATGCTTCGTATTTAATAATTTTACTTTATTTACCCTACTTTTTTTAGTATAACTTACCTAAATCCCATAGTGTAAGATCTTAATTACCTTCTATCTCTATTATTTTTCTAATTACATAAATCCCATGTTTTTTAGGTATTTTTGATACATAAAAAAGGATCAGGATTATTGTTGATACATTCTGTATCAATCTGTTGCACTTATTAAGGAAAAAAAATTGAAAAATCAAATTACATCTTTTCCATCTGTTACATTAATTAAGGGGGGGAAAGTTGAAAATAATATAAGTCCCATAAATTGCGTTATTCCCTTCCATATTGTCAAGAATTCAATCATATAGTATAACTATCCATAAAAATCAAAAATTAAATTTCTTCTTGTTCATCGTTTTCTCTGTTTCATAAAAACTTTTGTCAAAATTTTGGATAAGCAGGGTGAGTTATGAAGGATACAAAAGTGATGAAATTGTTTTTGGACAAACAATTTCTTTTGTGAATCTTCAAGTTCATCGAATATCCTTTTGATTTTGATACAAGATTGCCGAAAATTTTGAGATTCAAAATTATCTCCAGTTCATTCAAGATCCTTTCAAATTTTTATTCATAATATCGAAAAAATTGAGGAGACATATCACGAAGATCCTTTCAAAATCAAGAGAAAATAAGTTGTAAAGATATTTAATTAGAAGGTTTGTCCATAATTGAGGGAATTGACAAAAATAACGTCCATGTCTTTGAAAGTTAAAGCACGAAAAATCTCTATTTAGTTACTTTGTTTCCTGTTAAAAAATTTCGAAAAGAATCTATGTAGCAAAAAAACTCTTATTTTTGCTGTAGACTTTGTTTTCTCAATTTGTAGTCATTGAAAACAGTTATTTCTTGACCATCTTTCTGTTGATTCTTTATTCTTATATTTCACTTTCTTTGTACTGATTCAAATAAGTGTCGTATTTTTACTAGATACATTAAATAAGAAAGTGTTGTTCATAAGATTTTAGATATGAGATCGATACATTATTGTTTGGTAATTGTTATGTATCATATACATTTAGTATAAATTCAAATTTATATATCAAAGCTAAAAAATTAGTAGATGATACATTACTATTTTTATGTATTTTATTTTGTTTGAGAAATTCTATAATTTAAAATTAAAAAAATACATTATACGTGTATTTGTATCAAATTAGCTTCCCTTTTTGTGTGTGATACCTAACACAAATTTTATGTATCAAGTACATTTATATTGAACATGATAAACACTAATTGAAGATTCAACAATATTAGAGTTATGTATCTACCTTAAATATGAACATGATACATTGCATACAACAAAGATTATTGTAGCACTGTATCAGATCAATGATAACACTAAGAAAGACTAGTTTAAGACTCTAAATAAATGAGATACATTAAAATTATGTATCTTTGACAGTAATGGCGTGCAATGGCAGATTCAACAATTCTTTTGACGTTTTTAACTGTAGATATATTAAAAGAAAATAAATATTTTTCAAAAAAAAATTTAAACGACGATATGATTAACTAAAATTACAAAGGTTCAATAAGATTTCAATGGGGTCAAGGGGAGGAGATAATTTTGTTTTATTTTTTAAGATGAAAAGCTAAAAAATAATAATGAAAGAAATCGGAGATTGAAGAGATGGAAAGAAATCTACCTATTGAATAATTTGAAATTATTAATTGGAAATAAAAAGATTTAAAATTCAAAAATATATTAATTAATGTAATTATAGAGAGATTTGTGGCATGCAAATGGCAAGAAAATCATGGATATGAGATTTCAAGTTAATGTATCAGAAAAAGGAGATGCTGAAAGAGAAAGAAGAGATTTTTGATATTTTTTGAAATAATAGGGAAAATAAAAAAATATGATAACAAATGATGTGTAATTAAGAAATTTTTTCAAATGTAGAATTTTTCATCCATTTTATAATTAATAGAAATAAAATGATAAACTCATAGTATTATTAATTATTTTCTTAATAAGTATGATAATTCAAAATAAACAAGTAAATAGAGACAAAAAAATATTTTCTTTTAAAAAATATAAATAAATTTGTGAATTTTTAAAAAAATAAATTAATAAATTATTCTTTCATAATTGCTTAAAAGACGCACTATAAAAAATAAACAGACATCGAAAATACTTACTAATTAATGAAGACTGGCAAATAAGTAAATATCATAAATATTTTATTAGAATTAGTAAAAAATCGTGCCGTGTAGATCAGAACTTCGCATTTCTCAAGAAGTTGACCTTCTTTAAGTTTTTTTTATACTTTCACCTTTTCTTCTCTTTTTATTTTGTCTAATTTTAATTTTTAATTTTAAATAAACAAAAGAAATAACACTTTGTTATCTATTATTTTTAATTTCTTTAGGTAATTAATATTTTTAAAAAAGGTAAAATCACTTTAATGAGTAAATTAATTTTAAATTTTCATTAATTAATAAAAATAAAAATAATAAATTTACTATATCAATTATTATTATTTTTAATAAGTATGAACGTAAGAAAAATTAAACAAGTAAATAAAGATAAAAGAGTATAGATTTTAACAAATCTTTCGTAGTAATAATATTTTACTATCATAGTTATATTTTTTGTGAAATCAATTTTTCTGTTATATTGCAATATTATTCTATAATAATTAAAATTTATTCAAATTAATGACTTTATTCTTAGTAATTCTGTAACGATCAGTTAAGTCATTTTTAGCACTAGACATTTTCTAGCGTAAAAGACTCCTCCGCAAGTATATTAAACTATTCGTTTAACTAAGATTATTTAATTTATGTATATATTTTACATATTTAATTTAATTGGTGATTTATGGGTCAATTCAATATTTATCCTATTTCACTTGGTCCATGTATTAAAATATATCAGTAGCGTTTATTAATGGAAAAATGAATAAACTATTCATAACTCCTACCTTAATTAGTAATGGAAAAATTAATAAACTATTCACAATTCCTACCTTAATTAGTAAAAACATTTACACTTTGAAATATTTATTTAAAATGTCAATATTTTTAAAATAATTTGTATCCAAATACTATTATTTGTCTTTTCTTTTATTTCTCAAAACAGTCCAACATTAAATATATTCACTACTCATTTATACTTCTTCTAGACTTTATTACCATTAAATTTATTTTCTTTTTTAAGATTTTCATTTTTTTTCTCTTTTACCATTTTCACCATTATTCACTCTCATTGTTGAAGAAAAAATTAATTATTCAAGTTCATACCAATTTGTTCAGATCTATAGATTGATTCAGAAAATCCCTCAATACATAAAGATATTTTTGAAATCATCATTTATTTTGAGAGAATTCATGAGATTTTGTTTTGGAAATAAAAAATAATGTTGAATTTTGGATTGTATGTATTACAAATTTTTCATCATTTTTTCTATTTTTATATGAGTTTGTTAACATACTCATCAAATATTTATGCATTTCAGAATTTTAGTATTTGAAACACTATTTTTTATGATTTTATTTTCATATTTGAGATTTTGTAGATTGTAATTTGTAGTAATCCATATAAGTATTCATACATAATATATTGTTCGAAATTTTTTGTGTATTCATATTTAATAATTTTGAATTTTGCTTATAGAATTATTAATTCACAAATAAACACATATTCAGATTTGAATTTGGTTAAAAAAATTGAAAAAAAGAAACACAGGAGACGAAGAAAAAAGAGAAAGTAAAAAAAAAAATTGCGAAATTGTATTCATATCAAAATAATATTCATATTAATTTTGTTTGTCAATTATTTTTCTTTTACTCATCATTTGTATTTTTATTAAGAACATTGTATTTCTTTTTTATTTGTAGTCATTCAAATACGTATCTCATATGTATTTATATTTTTTAATCATAAATCCTATTTTTTAACAGTTAATTTATATTTTCTTAGAATATTATATTCTGATTATATCATTTTTCACTGTGTATGCTATCTCATATGAATTTGTATTACTTAAACATATATGTATCCTGTTTTTCAACAGTTAATTTGTATTTTTTTAGAATATTGTATCTTGATTATATTGTGTTACTGTGTATGCTATCTGTTTTTCAAAATCTTGTACTCTTATTTCTTTCATAGTCGATTTGTATTTTTTTTCCTCAACAGATTTATTATTTCCACCAAGTATGTAAACCCCCCCCCCCTCCCACAAAATCTTGTACCCTTTAATAAATCATATTCATATATACTGAAATACGTGTATATATATATGTCAATTAAATAATACAATTTTGATCACCGAAATACAATTTGTAGTTTGAAAGGAAAAAAAGTTAATTTTAATTTGAATGATAAAATGAGCACATAAAATGTAAAAAATATTGGTATATAATTATAATAAAAACATAACAAAGGAAAAAGGAAAGTTGATCTAATGAATGAAAAAAGATTTTTTTTTTTTGAATAATGATGAGAATTTTAAGTGATATGTTCCTTTTCTAAAAAAATGTTGTCTCACTTTTTCATCATACTATTTTTTTGTATTTTATATATTATTATACAATATTCTAAATAAAACTAGAATAAATAGAAATACAAATAATATACATATTGAAATGAATACGAATTACAAGATTTTCGAAGAAACAAATAAATACACATGAAAAAAATATATGAATACAAATATGTTTCTTAAATAACTATAGATTAATTTGGCATACCTATTAAAA